AGATTTGTACATAAAGCCAAAAGGGTCTGAGCCCAGAAATAATTTGTAAGTTCAAGGCAAACCATGCCAGATACCAGTGTTCTTATTTATTTTGTTGTTGTTGAGACAGGGTTTCTCTGTGTAGCCCTGGCTGTCCTGGATCTCATTCTGTAGTCCAGACTAGCCTCAAATTCAGAAATACACCTGCCTCTGCCTCCTGAGTGCTGGGATTAAAGGAATGTTCCACCAACTCCTGACCAATGTTCTTTTTAAAGGTTTATTTTATGTTAGATGTATGAGTGTTTGCCTGTGTGCATGTATATGTATGACACGCATATGTGGCCAGACGGAGGCCATACAAGAGCCTTGCATTCCCTGGAACTGATGTTACAGACTATTTGAGCTGCTATGTGGATACTTGGAACTGAACTTGGATCTTCTACAAGAGCAGCTAGTGCTCTGAATGCTGAGCCATTTCTCCAGCCCTGTCATTGTTCTTTTACATAAAGCAAGAAGTCAAAGCTCAAAATGGTTAAATAATCTACCCAGGGGATTTTAGCCAATCTAGTGGCGCCAACCACAGTTCCCACCCACTCATTTCCCTTCCCACCTCTATCCTTTACCTGCTTAACAGACTCTAATCCAGTTAAAGATGAGGTGTTGTGATTAATGTCTGGTCAACTGCTGTACCCTACTTATTCATTCGTTATGATTGGCACAAGGGTGGTCACATGACCTAAGCCAGTTGCATAAGGAAGTCAAGCATGTGGATAATATGAATTGACAGAGGAGTTTCAGGGGACTGTGAGTTTGGCTCATTAAAAGCCCCATTCTTATGGCTCTTCCTTCTTTGCAGAGAGCTCCTGTATTGTTCACAAGCTGAGAACTCCGCACATTCCTTTAGAAAAAACCAACAACCTTATGGACTATAATTCACATAGTGTGCAATCACTCATCCAGATCAGGGTGTTCAGGGTGGTGTGGCCATAGACCAATTACTCATTTAAAGTGTGTAATTCAGTGGTTTTTAGTGTATAGACTTATGTATCCATTGCTACATTGGTTTTAAAAACATGTTTATTATCCCAAGAAGAAGCTAGGCCTGTTACTCCCCTTTCCTCCCAAACAGCTCCAGTCTTAGGCAACCACCATGTACTTCCAAGAATTTACCTAATTTAGACATTTCAATTTAAATGGAATCGTATAATACTAGGCCTTTGCGAGTTGCTCCTTTCACTTAGCGTACTATGTTCTTTGTTCATCCAAATAACAGAGCATGACATAGTAGAGTTTCTTTTTTGCTGAAATTGGCTGGGTTTCTAGCACTTGTCAATTGAAAGTGTGCCCAGAATTTGAAGTCAAATCTGATAGGCCTATTCCTCTATTTGATCTGATGAAGCCAATCATGAAGGGCTTTGGGTACCACAATAGAGTCTGACCTTCCTGCTATAGACCCTGGAGATTGCTGAGCAAGAGAGGCAAGTTTGGAGTGCATTCAGAATGACAAGTTTAGTGAGATTATTCTCACAAGTGATGTTTTTATTTAGATTAAAATACCTTGTGGGCAGGGCTCAGTGGGTGATGGTGCTTGCTGTGCAAGCCTGGCGACCTGTGTCCAATCCATGGAACCCTGTAAGGGTGGCATTCATGTTCCTCCCAACAATAATAAAGATTCAGTCTTGTGTCTTGCAATGGTTTGAGTGAGAATGGCCGCCATAGGCTTATATGTTTGAATATTTGGTCTTCAGTTGGTTGGAACTATTTAGGAAGGACTAGGGGGTGTGTTGTTTTTCTGTCAGCCTATTGGCTGTGCCTGAATCTACAGATGTTTTAACTACCATCTGCACCCTGTGCCCTGCAGTTAGCACCCTGCCACTCAAACTGGTTCAGACTGTGACCTAGCAGGATTTCCAGTCCTTCAGTCTCTAAGTTGATGCAGCCTCCAAATGCAGGTTTTAACTAAGTCTCGATTGTTCTTTACCAATAAAGACTTGGGAATCAGGTGATGGCGTGAAAACCTGCTAGGTCAGAGAAGTGGAGAAGCAACCTGATAACCTTCCTGCTAGCCTGGAGACCCAGCAAAAGAATCAGTCACCTTTCTGCTCTTCCCAAACAAAAAAGACTGATTATCCCTAAGTTCCTCCCTACTCCTTCCTGTGTGTCTCCTCATCCTCTCTATGCCTAATTCCTGTCAACTAGTCACTGACCCTGTCCCCGATCCATGGTTAATTTTATTAACAGTCTTGGAGTTTCACAGTGCCATCAAATACCCTGAAACAGAAGAATGTCATTGGGCGTGGATTTTGACATTTCAAACCACTTATGCCATTCCCTGTCTGCCTCTCTGCCTCCTGTTTGCCATTTGAGATGTGAGCTCTCAGCTGTTCCTGCCATCATGCTTTTGCTCTACCATCGTGGACTCTAACCCTCTGAAAACATAAGCCCAATTAAATGCTTTATTTTATGTTGCCTTGGTCATAGTGTTTTATCATAGCAATAGAAAATACCATAAATATTACATATCATATGCAGTGCATTTATACCATCTGTCACAGTCTCAAAAAAAAAAAAAAAGAGAGAAAAGAATAGAAAAGAAAATGAAATCCATGTTTCTGTTTCTTTAAGAGAGGAGACTGGAAAATATGTCACCCTGTGCCCACATCCCTACAGAACAAACCTGATGAGAGATGTTTCATAAGGGAATGAGAAACATTGTACCTTTATCTGGCAAATGTAAAACCAATTATACTGTAAACCAATACTATTCAAGAGACCCAGTCTGTGTGACCTACTGGTGCTATTACCTCATCTTGTCATTCAAATGTCCTTACCCATGCCTGCTGGCTGTCAAGCCAGTGAGGGCTACAACAACCTTCTTCACGCTGCTTCATTCTTCATCCCCTGTGAAGTTAATCTGAAGGAAGCATGTGCTCCATGTGACATTTCACATTTGTAAAAGACTATGGTGGAGACCACCTGATTCCCACAGTGAGGAAGAGGTGGGACTTTCCAACCTTTCTGCAGCCAGCCCTTATGGAGGGAATCCAGACGTATAGAAGACCATGCAGAAGTGGGAACCAGGGAGAGGAGGAATCCAGTGTCAGGGGCCTTGCTCTGCCCCTCCATGCTGGCCATGGACAGCTAGTGCCCAGTATGTGTGGTCCCCAAAGTGTTCACACAAGGAGCACACAAGCCAATTCATGAAGAGTATGTTTCCTATCCATTGCATATCAATCTGGGACCTCTCCATCTTCAAGGTCCTCCCTACCTCTCTCCTAAGAAGTCCCAGAGCAGCCCCTCAATGCTCTACTCCATGCTTTAGGGAACCTAGTATGGACTTGAACAGAGCCAGAGAAGACAGAAGAGGAGAGGTGATGGCATCTGGCCTGTATTCTCTGACCTCGGGCGTACTGGAGAATAACAGGAAGGGAAGTTTTTGACTTTCAGAGGTTCTGGGAACAAGCACAGGTACTTCAGGTCCCCAGAGACAAAATGTAGCCCAGTGTTGGGCTTCCTCCTGACTCTGACCAGAACCCAGCCCCATCTGACACAACACTGAGGCTGTATGGAATGGTGTTGTAAGGAAAGCCATGGATGGCATCACAGGAAAGACCTGAGTGGGCTCAGGATTGTCACAGATGTCTGATTTTTTGAGAAGCATAGGACAAAGTAGGGCTCTGGGCTGGGGAGGTGGGAGGGTTCCTGTAAATGCGTCCATTCACACTTGGCTGGTCCCTGAGCCTTAGGTATCTGCCCCAGGATGGTGTGAACTCTTGAGGGTCTCCCAGCCTTTTCCAGGTCCCAACATTCTGACCCAGCCTTGCTGAGAGTGCACGGGAACAGAAGCATGCCAGGTAAATGAGCATAGGGACAGGAACAGGGTAAGGGGCGGGGAGGCAGAGGGTACAAGCAAGGAAGCTGCTGTGCCAGCCACTGTCCTATAGAGATGGAGATCCAGGGATGCCAGGTTTCCACAGTCTCCTCTCTTAAGAAAATAGAAACTCAGATTCCTTTTTTCTGTCCTGTTCTTTTAAAGACTGTCTTATGTATGTACCCCAGGCTGGCCTCCACACCTACTGTGTAGCTGAGGATGACTCTTAACTTTTGATCTTCTTGTCCCACCTTATCAGTATTGGTATTTCCCATGGTGCTCAGCTTATGTTGCAAGCACTCTACCAACTGAGCTACTTGACTAGTTCCCAACTCAAGGTTTTTAAGGTGAAATGTACTGATTTTCAAGTGTAAGCACTGGCAAGTGTGAAAGTTCTCATCTGTATTTGCCTGTTGAGCTCCGCTGCCTGCTTGGCTGTGGCCTGAGAAGAAGTCTCTCTAAATAGGATCTTCTCCCCTGGCTCTGATCGCTGATCCAATTGCACTGATCAGTGAACAAAATGAATAGGACCAGGCAAAGAGAGATCAGGGTTCTTACTCCACGTTCAAAGCCAGGTCTTCCACTGCCCCAGGGTCTGTCTGTGTAACCCTGGCTGTCCTGGAACTACTCTGTAGACCAAACTGTTCTCAGACTCACGGAGATCCTCCTGCATGGGCTCTCAGAGTCCTGAGACTATAGGAGTGTGCCATCACTCCACCTGGCTTCTGTTCATGTTTCTGTGACAGTAGCCTAGTTCTCTGTAGTCCTGCTGCTCCTGCAGAACCCCTTCCCCAGGCTGTACCTCTCTCTAAGATGTGTTGACCTTTCCTTCCCTCTGACTTGAGGCTTCAGAGTGGTGAGTCTCCCTCCATTGTTAGTCTCTAAGGACCTCATCATCCTTTGCCCATTCTCCTCATCCTGGCCCTATAAATGCTCAAGTAAGCAGACCTTTCCTTCTGTGCCTTGGATTGGGCCTGTTTTCCTACTAGAAACCACCATCCATGACTAATTCAGCTTGTGCCTGCTGATGGATGCTCTGTGCACTATAGCTAGGCCAGCAGGCCAGAGTGGAAACACAGGCCAACACAGCATTGCTTTAGCTCCCATGCTGAAACAGAAGCAGTGCCCCCTCAAAGGAAAGAGCCTGGAGATGCGTCCAACCAGTTTAATGACCGGTACAATCATGCAAATGCCAAACCAGGGATGCACAAAGGCAGCAGGGGCCTGAGGGGAGGGCACTACAGCACTCTCATAGGGAAAATGGGGTTGCCTAATGTTTATGGGGAGGGGTTTGTAGGAGGAAAGACCCACTGGCTGTACAGGCCGATGACATACTCCTCAGGGGAACTTGCATCCTGTCATGAAAGCAGGAACGAGCTGGCCACCTTTACTCCCGGACATAAATTCTTGTGCATACCACATCATCGGCACCAAACGTCTGCCCGGAGAAAAGGAAAACCAATCAGTACAGATGCCTGTGTAAAAATGTGTAAAGTACATCACCAAGACGACGGACTGCCCTGTTTACAAGCCTTCGTATCAGGCTTCAAACTTCCTGAGCCATGTGTGCAAGCTAAGTGCTCCTCCCCTAAGCAAGCTCCCACACAGCAAGAAGCAATAGAGTAGAGAACTATGCTATATGAAATTCTCCTTTGCTTCCAGAACCTGTGAATGCTCACATAAGATATGCACATTTCCTGGCTTTAGTTTTGAAATAATACTGAAAGGGGACGAATGTCCTAGCAGGTATTTCTGAAGGGCTTCTGTGTCCTTGCAAGTGGCTGCATGAGAGTGAGGGGCCTGGCCTGCTAAACTATGGCTTGGAGATACGGTAGAACTGCCTTCTGGGAAGCAGCCATCCAGCCTGGGAAACAACAGCCTGATGTAAGAACAGCCAGTCTTCTGTATATATGGGTTCTAACTTTCACTGTCAACCAAGCACAAATTAAGAATGCTCGTTTAAAATTTGCATACATCCTAAACATGCACAGCTTCTTTTTACATGCTACTATTCCCTAGACAACACCATATGACACATTTGCATGACAATCATGTAGTATCAGGTATGGAATGATTGTAAACTAGGAATGATGCAGGAGGCTGTATATAAGGAACTTGAGCATTTAAAAATTTTGGTGTCTGCAGGGGTCCTCTAACAGATCCCCTATGGATGTGGTGGTATAGCTATAATACATCACCTCTAAACCAAAACATTAGTCTCAGATATAAGAACACAGCATTGGCCTTCTGATCTAACTCTGCAACCCATCACTGGGCAAGGCTCTGTCCCTCTCTTGGTCTGCTCAGGGTGGGCAGGGGTGTGTTGAAGGGAACAGTGACTTTAAATTGGGTACTCTGGAGCTAGAGTTATAGACAGTTGTGAGCTACCATGTGAGTGCTGGGAATTGAACTGGGGTTCTATGGAAGAACATCCAGTGCTCTTAACCACTGAGCCATCTCTCCAGCCCTGGAAGGGTGACTTCAAACAAGCTGGGTCTGAAGGTTCTTTCCAGCTAAGACTCTATGACTCTTTGTTGGCTAGAGGGAACATGCAAATCCTTCCACAGATGGGAAAGGACATGTTTCTTCTGGTCCCTGAAATAGTAGCACCTATATAAGTAAGCTGTCTGCAATCCCCACAAACTGCCAATTACTCACAGGCCTGCTCTCCTGGGAACAGGGAAAGGGAAAAACAAGGACAGAAAGGGCTGGAAACATGGCTCAGCAATTAAGAACACTGGTTGCTCTTTCAGACCAGGTTTGATTCTCAGCACCCATGTGGCAGCTCACGACGAGTCTGTAACTCCACTTCCAGGGGATCTGATGGCCTCTTCTGGCCTTCATGGGCACCATCACACATGTGGTACACAAAAATACATGCAGCCAAAACACCCATTCACATAAAGTAAAAATTAAACAAACAAAAAACAAAGATAAAACCTCCCCAGTTGGCAGCCTTGATGTGCATATATGTGTATGTTTATTTGTTGCAGGGCACTTACCTTTTGAGTACCCCAAATGACTGGCAGTTTAAGAGGAGCTAAAACTATTGTGCTATGAATTTCATTATCTCAAGGTCTTTAGATTCTTTTTTTTTTTTAATCTGTTTATTTATCTTGTCATGTTGGGGATAGATTACAGGATCCTACCCATGCTAGGCAAATGCTCTACAAACCCCATTGTTTGGTTTTAATCATTGTAAGAACAGGATGTATTTCACATTCTTACCCTTGGAGCCTCGATAACCAGATGCTCTTGGGATATTCACTAAGGCATTGCCTGCTTCCAAAAATAGTTCTTGCATATAGTGAGTATTAAGGGGGTCCTGACAAGACAGGCAGCTTAAGGGCATTTGTGAGGAATGTAGATGGTTCTATGTCCTAGGCACATGTCGGGGATTGGGCTGGGGTACAGTTCATAAATCTACTTGCTAGATGTTGCACCCCAAGAACCATGCTGATTTCCCAGAATTCCTTAAGTTCCACAGCCTCATAGGTCTTTGGAGCTCACCCAGGCAAAAAAAATAGCTTCATGACATGGGAAGAAATCCTCACATTTCTAACTCCAATTGAAAAATCCTTTCCAGCCTTCCACTGCATCCATTTTTGTGCTTAGAGATTCCAGAAAGAAACTCTATAGAATATTCCAGAGCAGTGTGGGGGAAGCACACTCAGTTTTCAAAGGAAGACAATTTACAGCCTGTGGCAATTTACTGTTGGCTCTGGGGACACTTATTTCATCCAAACTAAAGTTACTTACCTCTCGTTACATGAAGATTACATCTCCCAACGTTTTAGATTTATTAACGATAATAACCCTTGAAACAAAAGCCCGCATTTCACATCCCAAATGCCAAGAATTAATGCTCCCTTTGAGGCTTGTATATATGTTTCCTGAGCCAGGGAAGAATGTCTGGGAGGAACTGCAGTGTTGGGGCAGTAAGAGACAAAATGGGGTGAAGTCCTTCACCAACATTTAGCTTGTGACTCTGGCTGCTCGGTATTACAGAGGTTGCCAAAATTCCACTTTTTTAATGTAAACTGATCAATCCTACTTAACCCTCAGCTGAACTCAAGATCTCTAACATCATCCTTCCTTGCTGCCTCCAGTCCCCATAAACTACATGTGCCTGTCTCCCTAGATTTCCAAGTCCCAGTCTCAGACTGCTCTGAGTTCATGAAGTAGCCCTCTGCTGGAAACAGCCAGGTTGCAAATTAAACCAGCCCTTTGTCCATGAAAGGAGAAGAGCTACTTAAATCATCCTAGCAAAGGCCAAGAGGAGAGGAAGGGGGAGAGATCAAACAGTTTCAAAGTAACAGGCATCTCAATTTAGGTTCTTCTTGCAGTCTACACATGTAATTTTAGGGCTGAAAGGAATCTCAGGGGCCATGGCTCAGACTCATTTTACAGCTGGAGAATAGATCTTGGGAAGGACTGGGAACAGGGCATCTTTCCCTAGCAAATTTTTTAGGCTTCAGTGTCTAGGTAATAGACCAGGAAGTCTAACAGCGGTGATGTTAACAGAATGCCTAATGAAAAACAAAGAATGTAAGTTCCTGGTCAGCCACAAGGGCTTTTCCTTTTTCTAGCCTGGGGTGGGAAACATCAGTCAGTTCTGAAACACGGAGGAAAAGTAAATGAGGGTTGTCTGGACTCTCAGCCCTCCCCCTTTTCCTCTTCACAAAACTGGGAAATGTGTGAATAAGTTGAACCATTTGTTTTTCTTTTAGAGATAGGATCTTGTTCCACAGCTCCCATTGGCCTGAAACTTGTGACCCTCCTGCCTCAGCCTTCAGAATGTCACATTACAGGGGTGGGTTAGATATAAACTTGACCTCACCAGGTAAGTTGTGCTTGGCTGTGGATTATTTAAAATGTTTAAATGCACAGCATGGTGGCTCGCTCACACCTTTAATCCCAGCACTCAAGAGGCAGAGGCGGGTGGGTCTCTGAGTTTGTTTGAGGCCAGCCTGGTCTACAGAGTGAGTTTCAGGATAACCAGGGCTACACAGAGAAACCCTGCCTCAAAAATAACAAAACAAAACAAAAATACCAAAAACAAACACAAAAAGATTTCCATCTACATACTTTTAAATAGTGTTTACCTCCTCTAACCTTAATGAGTCCACCTTTCCACACCAGTGCATTCAAACATTTCCCAAATTAGCACTCCTTGCCTGGCTCCTGGAAGACATTGGAACTTGTAAGTCTGGAGTAAAAATATTCTCCATGGCTTTGATTGCTGATGTAATAAGCAGTAGTGAAACTTTTCCCTACTAGCAAAATGGGTCAAGTGTGGGAGGGGTCTCATTTGTATAAGCTGAGGGAACCACAGAGCCCTAGCATCCCCAGCCAAGCCAGAGACTGGGTATCACCCACCACTGAGATAGGCATAGAACAGTTTGGACAAAGATCTGGCACTGCAACCAGTCTTATATATGACCCTGGCCTCTCAGCCACTCCCCTCTCTCCTGCCAACCATTTAACAATGATTTCCTCTGGCCTAAACTGTCAGCCCAAGCTTTCTGCTCAAATTTTAACCTGTGGCAAATGACTTTCTCAAAATGTGAGCATGAAGACAGCACACATGTATGGCCCACCAGGGTGGGGGTCACCTGGGGAACCCTGAAGTTGTCTCAGAGTCAAAGGGCCCTTACCAGGATCAGCTCGTCATTGGCCAGCTCTCGGGTCCAGTAGGTTTTGGGGCCATCCCCCTCAAGAAGAGTTTGTGTGCAGTGAATCTTGTTCTCATTCTCCCAAGTGGGCAGACTCTGCAGACAGGAAAACCATTAGTGATATTAATTACGGTCTGGGCAGCGGGATGGGAAGAACACAAAGAACACTGGAGAATAATTGCCAGGCAGGAAGGTAACACATGGCCCTTGTCAGCGGGGCACAACATCTTTGCTGAGCCACACGAAGTGCAAACTCAGAGTGCTGGCCACAGATTTTATGGAGTATAAATATACCTTATATCACTTATACACAGACTCACCAGCGCAGCAAAGCCTTGGGCATGCTTTGCATCTCTAGGAATAAAATTCAGAGCGCACGGTGATTCACTTACATCAACACACAGAACCTCTCCAAACAATTTGGACTTTAATGTGCCTTCATGTCAGGGTCACAAAATATTACAACTGTTGAGCCCTCATGTTTGCAGCTACACTGGGGGCGGGCAGAAGAGAAGATGGGTCCGTGCCCAGGTTCTGGACTAACACCCTCCTTTCTCTTCATTCTTCATCAAACATAGCGCACAGTCTGCTCTAATAAACCTGTGTCTGTCTCTGGGGATATAAAGGCTTCCACTTTTCAGGTTACATCCTTCTAGAAACATTTTAAAAATCAAGCCAGTTTGAAGGCTCTTCATGGGGGTGGAGGTGGGTAAGCAAAAGGGGGAATCCATGTAGTCCCCCTCATCTCTGCACACAGCAAAGTGGGGTACAGCTGGGCGGGGTGGTGCTGGATGTGCACATAATCGCTTTTTAACTAACACATGCGACTCCTTCATTAGGCAAAGGATGGGGGAAGGGGCAGGGAATTCGAAAGCCCTGTTCTCTCCAGGGTGTTACATGAGTCTTTTGTTGTTCTTAAATCAGAATTGCCCTCTCTGGCAGTGGCCAGAGTTAGATGTGTCCAAATTGAGCCTTACTTATTGCCAAGCCAACTTCTCCATTCAATGCCCATTCCTTCTCCACTCTGAGCATTCTATGATGTGGAGGACTGAACCTAGGGCCTACCACATGCTAGGCACATGCTGCACCATGGCTGTATGTGTTCCCAGCCATGGATATCCGTTTTTTTTTTTTTTCTTTCTTCCCAAACGATGTGGTGACTTGAACCTCAGGTCACACTAGGTTCAAAGCAGGGATCAACTCTGATGGGCAAAGACTGTCTCATGAGTGAGCCTTCCAAACCAGAGTCACAATTGGAACAGACAGGTATGTGCTCAGGAAAGGAAAGAAATAATTTCCCATTGTGCCAAAACAAAACAAACAAACAAACAAAAAAACCCAAAAACATATAGGGACAATGCAGGACAGTATTGAGCCTGTCTCAAAACAAACAAAACAAAACAAAAACCAAAAACAAAAAAATAAACAAAAAAAAAAATGGAGACACTGTAGGACAGTGGGAGCCAATAGGCACAAATCCATAAAGTAAAATTCTTTAGAATGTTGTTACAATACAAAGACACAATTTTTCTCACCATGTAGGCTCACACAAGATCTGCTTGCCTCTGCCTTTAGAGTACCAGGATTAAAGGATTGGGCCACAATACTTGGCCTGGTTTGCAATTTTTTTTTTTTTTTTTTTTTTTTTTAGAACATTGAAAAAACTGGATATGGTGGCTCACTTTATGATCCTAGCACTTGGCAGAAACAGGATTGATCCAAGCCGGATCCAGCTTGGTTACAGAGATCCTTTCTCAAACAACCAAACCAGAAAACAAAATGCACAAAACAACAACCACAAAACCCACAGTGGAGAAAAGGGGGCATCCTTTGTAAATGAGATACCAAAGGCTGGATTTACAATCAGCAAGTTTTCATAGAAATGCTGCAACATAAAGTCATTTTTCCAGATCACTCACTCATCCTTTGGCTCATGCTTCAGAAGTAAAAACAACAACAACAAAAACTTCTCTTGCCTGTTGGATCTAGTGGTGGACACCTGTAATCCTAGCACTCCAGGGGATGAGGCTGGAGAATCCTGAGTTCGAGGTCACCAGGTCTACACTAGAGTTCCAGACTAACCTAGCCAGGGCTACATAGCAAACCCTGTCTTCTCGTAAATCAATCTCGATCTCTCTCCATCCCCCTCCCTCCCTCTCTTCTTCTACCCACCTCTTTCTGCCTCTCGACCTTGAGGGCTTAGAAAGGCCATTTAGTACATTTTCTCGGCTAGAACCTGTGTTGCGTTTACTTTCGGAAGCATTTCGCCATTCCCTTCAAGACCTCAATTAAACACGGAAGGGCAGGAAGGGGTGGCAGGCAATCCGGATTTGCAACTGGATCCAAAGTGTCCTCTGATGGTCCAGGGACCCAGGGGGTGGAACCCTACATCAGCCACCCCTCCTAAGACAGGTAACTCTGGCAGCTGCGCACAAGAGGCAGCAATGGTCCCAGTAACCCCTACCCATGCCGCCAGAGCTAGAAGGTGCCGCTAGCCAGGCACTGATCTCAGCCAGGACCACATAGCCACCCAGAGCAAAAGCGTGCCTATTTGCGCCCGAGGGATGGTATCGGAAACGGGGTAGGGCTTTCTCCTGAGCCCAGGACCAGTAGGTCACACAAACCTCCCGTGACACACCCTACAACGAAAGTGCGCCCGCTGTAGCGGGCCAAGGGAAGAGGTACCCGGAAAGGAGGTGCGGTCTCTACAGCCTCACCCTGCACTTGCGTCCGTCCACTGTCTCCTCCTCGAAGCCCTCTCCGACCTTGAAGTTGATCTCCGTGGTGCGCACGGTGGTGGATGTTTTGATATAGAACTGATCCCCATCCTGGCGGATCTCCACGTGCGGCTTGGACGCAGCCGCCACAGCCACCTTCCTCAGCATGGCATTCACACCTGCGCAAGGAAGCACGGACTCGGGTCTCAGGTCCTTACCCCCAAACCTGTTTGACACTTCCCAAATCCTCTGACTTTAGACAGGGGTCTTAAATTAGTTCCATTTGTCTCCGTCCTCGCCTGGGCTTTCGAGAACAGAAACCGAGGCTCAGAGATGGTAAGTGGCTTTCCTGAGCTACCCAGTGCTTTCAGGGCAAGATTTGGTCTCAAACAGTCTAAAGTTCTTGCTCCTCGCAGTAGTCTAGGTCGAGATAAAGATGGAACCGTCGAGAAAGGCGCCAAATGTCCAGCCGATTCTCCTCTGAGATCGGGGAGGGGACGCAAGGAAACAGATTTATCACTCCATAGACTCCCTCCTGCCTGAACCTCCCCGGGCCACCCTCTCTGGGACAGGGGTACCTCGCAGCTGCTTCTGGCAGACCCGGCACGCCCTCCGCACCAGCTTACCCAGCGCCTTGAGGAGCTCGTCGAAATTCTCGCTACTGCGCATCTTCCAGGTGCCGGCGAAGTTGGGCATAGTGGAGGTGGCGGCGACGGCGCAAAGGCAGCGGCGGCGCAAAGGCAGCGGCAGGCACCGACCTCTGCTGCGGAGCGGTAACACAACTGCAGAGAGAGACTGGCGTTCTGCGCCCAGCCGCACGCGCCTTGAGTCACTTGGTAGCGCCCCCGCCCCCCCCCGCCCTTCTGGGGCCCCGCCCTCAGGTCCCGCCCCTGCCCTGCGTGAGGGGGTGGGGGTGGCCCACGAGGGATGAGCCCAACTCCCGCCCTAGCCCTATGGTGCCCCTCTTCATTCCTCATCTTCCCAGGCGCCAGTGATGCAGCTTGGAACTCCCTCTCCCCGGGTGCCTCCTCCGCCACGCCGCCCACATCCTGTTTTAAAAATGGGTGGTGGGAGAGGGTTTAATGAAGCCAGGTCGGTCTGGTGGAGATATGAGGAGCTAACTAGGTAGTGGGGATTCAGGGATCATGACATCATTTCTCTACTTTTGGCTATGTTTGAAAATGTTCTTTCTGTACGGTTGGTTACAATGAATAGTAAGGCCATCAGGATGGGAACCACTTTCTTCCCACCCAGCCATACTTTCGGTCAGGTCTCCTCTGCTCTGCCTTTTGAGTTAGTACATACTCTGGGGACCAATTAGAACTAGTGGCGGGAAAGGCCCAACCCCCACCCCTGCCAGTCCTGGATATGCGGAACTCGGCTAGCAACCAAGGCTCACCGGTCTTCTGCTTAAGTCAGAAGGGAACCCAGGCCATCTTTTTGTTGTTGGCTTAAGACAGAGTAGCTGTCGAAGAGATTGAACAGGCAACATGTTGGGAAATGGCAGCAGTTTGCTTTGCCTAAAATTGTGGGTTTGCGCTCTGCAGGCCAACTGAGAAGGCCTAGTGAGACAGCCTAGCTCCTGCCTTTGCGTTGACAGGGGCAGATCTGAAAAGCAAGGCCGCCTGTCGCCAGAGTCTCCCCTAAGGGGGTACACACACTTCACCATGCCTTTCCAGCTTTTCCTTCATACCTCAAAATTCCAACCTCTTTCCACTGTTTTCGCCATTGATACTCCTCGGCCAAATTGTAGAACTTGCTACACATGGCCACATCTCAGCCATTGACTATGCTGTGCTCTTTCCCTGAAGTTCATTTTCTCTCCTTGGATTGAAAAAAAAAAAAAAATCCCTACCCGTTAGAGTGCTGTTGTCATGACATGTGTGTTGTAAAATTCTCTTTCCTAACCAGATCACTTTTCTCTGGACACACAGGGTCCTTTTGGGGCCTGCTCTTACTCCTTCCTGTCTTCACTGCCGAGTATTGACCCTTTTGAGCATGGTGATCGATGCTGATCAATGCATCCGAATTTCCTCAGGCTCAGCCAGGTGGGGCTCATATGTGAATCGATTTTCAGAAGATGCAAATGCTCCACCGCCTAGAGGTGCTGTGGGGTGAGCTTTCCCCAAAGACGTGGAAGTGATTTGTGCTGAGTGATAACTGAAGAGGGGCCCTACACTTCTGGAAATGACTGAGATTGGCCTGCTCAGGGCCCCGAGAAGCCCTCTAAGACAGCTGAGGACAAGAGAGTGGAGAGGGACCTTCACAGGCTGGAAAGGGGCATGGGTGGGGACAGCTTGATGCATGTGCCATCTGTACCATTATAGGTCGTATTTGTAAAAGGACTTGGTAACTGGATTGGAAGATGGAAAGCATCCCTGGCATTGACATCTTGAAATACTTTATTTCTTTACATGTGTGGTGCGTGCACATGTGCATACACCAAAGGTGGACATTAGGGGTCATCTTCTATCACTCTTCACCTTATTCTTTGAGACAGGGTCTCATTGAACCTGGAGCTCAGCAACTCCGTAAGACTGGCTGGCCAGCATACCCTGATGCTGGCCTTAGTGACCCCGTTTCCACCTTCCCAGCACTGGGAATTCAGTTACACACGATTATGCCTGTATTTTCATCAGCTCTCAGGCCCTCATATTTGTGTGACAAACACTTTACCATCTGAGCCAGTTTCTAAACCCTCCATCTTGAAATTCTTAATCTCTGAACAAGGGGCTCTGCCTTTACATTATGCTCTGGGATCTACAAGCTGGGTGTCCTGTCCTGGTTGTGTAAGCAGGGATGGGCTGCCATGGAATCAAACTTGACAAAGAATTTAGTGTCTCTACAGTGACCGGGCCAAAAGAAGGATGTCATGGAGCTAATGCAGACCTCCACCTCCATTCAACACTTGTGGCCAGCAAGGCATTGCCCCATTAAAGACGGGGGGTGGGAGCTGGTGCTAAAGGAGTGGAAGCTGGAGTCAGTACCACAGTTTATAGCCCAGTAAAAGCTAATAAAGGAGTGCTGTGGATGAGGCAGAACAGCAATGTGCAAGTTTTTCAGCAAAGGTACAGCATGGACCAAAGGGAAAGGAAAGAAACAGAAAGCAGAAGGATTCATGGTAAATAGATGGGCAAGGGAGATGTCTCCGCTGGTAAAATGCGTGCTGTGCAAGCTTGAAGACCTGCGTTTAGATCCCCAGCACCCACATAAAAAGTCAGGCATGGTGGGCATGCCTGTAATTGTAGTGCTGGAGAGGCTGATTCCTGGTGCTTTCTGGTCAGTCAGTCTAACTATGTTGGTTATCTCCAGCTGCAGTTTGTCATAAGATAAAATGGAAAGCAATTGAAGAAGATACTTAATATCAATCTCTAGCTTTCATGTGCACACATGTGCAAATATACATGAACATATGTATATGCCACACATGCACCAAAAACAGGAAAGGGGAAGCAACGTGGGTCATAAGGAGTTAAGAAGGGGTCTGCTGCCAGGTTAGCTTTGTCACAGCAGGACAGTGGTGCTATTGTCCAGGCATAAAGCAAGGACAGGGTCCAGGAAGGAAGTAGGCTGCCATTACTACTCTGGAGACGAGGGAACACCAAAACCAAAAGGGCAACAAAGACAGGCCACTATGGTTCATCCATGAACCCAGACTCAAGATCCAGAGAAAGACCCTCGATGAATACGGGAGACCCAGCTCTCGGGCTGAGACTAAAACAGATAGGTAGAGTCCCCTAAATCCTCTGAGCTTGCCTCCTCCTCCTCTTTGTTCTTTTTGTTTATGGGCCTTTCTTTGCCAAGGCCTCTCTGAAACAGGAACTGGGTGCAGTTCCCAGGATAGTGATTGGTCAGGGTCTGTGGCCTGTGCTGAGTGAGGGCTGCTTTTCCACTGCAGAGAACCTGGAAACCATGCCTACCATGTGGGCTGACAGTGCCTGATGGCAGGTGTGTGGTCCAGCCAGGGGTGAGTATGGAGAGCAGGTCTGAAGGGGATGAGAGTGCACGTGGTATGATCATGTAAACTGGAACTATGTGTTTTCCAGTGTGGCTGGACTACACAACCAGAAAGGGGTGGGGCAGGAGACCTACAAAGCAGGCAAATGCCTTCCACCAAGGCCACAAGGCCACAAATGTGGTAGGGAGGTCTGTCTATGTCTTTCCCTTTCCCCAAAGGACATGATGGGTGTTCTGTAAAGAACAAGGGATAGGTCGAAAAATGGGGTACTCCTTGGCAAAGCCTCAGAAGGGCCCCTTCTGTGAATACTAAAAGTGATTGCACACAGAGAAGTCACACTGGGTACCAGGCAGGGTGCGGGGAAGCAGAAGAGCAGAATTGGGGCTGGCTCCAGCTTATTGAAGAGTACGCTTGTCTCTAGCCTCTTTGGGACAACCTGGTAGACGTGCAGCCTGAAGCAAGGAAAGTTTAAGATGGCTGACGAGGTGGCTCAGCTGGTAAAGACACTTGTGGCTAAGCCTTGTAACCTGAATTCAGTTCCCAGAGCCCACATGATAGAAGGAGAGGGCTGACTCTTACAGGTTGTCCTTTGACTTTCACATGTACTCCAGCAGCATCCCCCAACCAAATATAAGTGAATTAATTCACCCTTAATTTGTTTTCAAAAGAGAAAGTATTGAGTTGAAGGGGCAGAGGCCTGGCGAAAGATGGAGGGAAGGTGAGATGGGGCAGTGCAAAAGCAGAGTAGCTCATAGTATGTGCTGTGAGGTTGAAGGCCTCTCTGTTGGGGCAGCTGGGTAGTCAGAGCCAGAGATGCTAGGACCTGCGGTTGGTAATGATGAACCATCTGTAGGATGCTGATGGATCGTGAAGCAGAGCGGACAGCTTAGGGTATTCTCTAAACTTATCGGTCCTGGTATCCTGCAGGACTGAGGGTTCAGAAAATCACTTTAGCTAAGGCCACGAAAGCATAGTGAGAGCCTGGTAAGGATTTAAGGAGAAAGGTGACCTGACCAGATTGCAGTTTTGTGTGTGTGTGTGTGTGTGTGTGTGTTTTGTAGGGACTAAACTGAGGCTGGGCTCTGAAGGCAGGGAGATAAAGAAAATCATTCTGGGCTGCAGAGGTAAAGGACTAGAGCAGGTGGCCATCCAGTCATTGCCCTCATGGCCCACACAAGAACTCTCCCCAGCACTGGGGTGCCTGGGGAGGTGTGTCTCTCAGGGGCTGGAGCTCAGGCCTGCATCCTCTCTCCAAGACCTCTTTGTTCCTCTGAAGGCCCCTTAGCTAACTCCCTGTTGCTAGCTCTCCCAGGCCACTGACCTGAATTGCATCTCTGCAGGGACATTTCTGTTGAGCTTTGCTATTTTTTCTTGGAGGCATGCCAGGCCCTCTGCAAACCCCCCTTACTTCCCTATCCTCTACCCACCCCACCCCCACCACTGTCCTGGCCCCTGCCTTCAGGCAGACCCAATTCATGCTGAAAGAATGGGGGTCAGAGTTCAGTCCCCAAAAGCTTGGGGCTCTGGAGTGGGCCTCAGGAGAAATTTTCGAGGCAGCTCTCCATAGTGGGGGCTGGGGCTACTGTGCTCTGTCCAGGACAGTCTGGGAGTCAGAAAAATAGGACAAAGAGCCAGATTCTGAGGAGGAGTGCATGCAGGCTGCACACACTGCTTGGGTTAGGGGAATGGAAGGAGTGCTGGGCTGGGAGTCATGATTCAGGCAGCTTTAGGATGATGGCATGTGGGGACCATGGCATCTGCTAGT